ATAACTCAATACCAGTCTTGTCAGAGTAGATGAAATTAATAACTCAATACCAGTCTTGTCAGAGTAGATGAAATTAATAACTCAATACCAGTCTTGTCAGAGTAGATGAAATTAATAACTCAATACCAGTCTTGTCAGAGTAGATGAAATTAATAACTCAATACCAGTCTTGTCAGAGTAGATGAAATTAATAACTCAATACCAGTCTTGTCAGAGTAGATGAAATTAATAACTCAATACCAGTCTTGTCAGAGTAGATGAAATTAATAACTCAATACCAGTCTTGTCAGAGTAGATGAAATTAATAACTCAATACCAGTCTTGTCAGAGTAGATGAAATTAATAACTCAATACCAGTCTTGTCAGAGTAGATGAAATTAATAACTCAATACCAGTCTTGTCAGAGTAGATGAAATTAATAACTCAATACCAGTCTTGTCAGAGTAGATGAAATTAATAACTCAATACCAGTCTTGTCAGAGTAGATGAAATTAATAACTCAATACCAGTCTTGTCAGAGTAGATGAAATTAATAACTCAATACCAGTCTTGTCAGAGTAGATGAAATTAATAACTCAATACCAGTCTTGTCAGAGTAGATGAAATTAATAACTCAATACCAGTCTTGTCAGAGTAGATGAAATTAATAACTCAATACCAGTCTTGTCAGAGTAGATGAAATTAATAACTCAATACCAGCCTTGTCAGAGTAGATGAAATTCAACTTCTGTTGTTGCTTTCACAGTAGAGCTGCTCATAATTTAATCGATTCAATCTCCCATCATTTGGAAATTCTAGCTCAGCCACTGCTCAATTGCTTAGCATAATTTGATCGGAAAGTACTAGAAACAGAAACAGAATGTCATTCAATATCTTGTTAATACTTAAAACAAACTTCTGGCAAAAAGTAATTTCATTTTAAGAACTATATTTTCAGAACCTGTGGATTTTTCTAAAATCCGATTGGTTGGCGGTAGTAGTCCTCAGCAAGGTAGATTAGAAGTATTTTATAATGGAGAGTGGGGTACTGTATGTGATGATGATTTCAATGAACTCAGTGCACAAGTTGTATGCAGACAGCTAGGTATCAGGTAAAAATATTCATGCTCTCTTTTCTTCAAATATTTTCTCAAGCTAGATCAGAATGCAACAATGGTGCAATATCTCCACTGCTATATGTACTGGTTTTTATAGGGCTGAACATATAATGCTTAGGCATTAAGTCCTCCATATCTGCATATGGACTCTGATAGTCTAGGATTCTTTTGATTTTGACCTCCACTTGTAAAATAACTGACTATTCTGAGAACTTATTATGAGGTGCCATTATATGGAATGCATGCTTAATTAAAGACGCACTACAAATGCTGAAGTGCTCATACACAGATCAGGACAAGCTTCAGGTCGAGGTTGAGTTCCTTGGAAACATGCGGATGCGGGCCGGGTGGGGTGGTGGTGGTGCTTTGATAGAGACTAAGCCCTACAACACACAGAGTGATGGCACACCATCCATGCACTTCCTCAAATAAACAAATAAGCTATAGCCTTTAAATATAGACCTAAGCCAACTGAATCAGTACATACTGGCAGATCATTTCAGAACAATTATGTACGCCGCTGCATACATCTAGTGTCACCGCATCTGCATTCTAAAAGTATGAGTAATGTGGAAACGTAAACCAGCATATAGATCACTGACTGTGAGAAAATCAGCGGGAAACAGTGCTGTTATTATTTACACATATCCACAGTCATAAACTTGCACTATCTGAGTATCGTAGTAAACTGACAAAAAAAATGTTTACAACTCCTTGACATAAGCTAGTGATCCTTGGTATGGAATGAAACAAGGCAGCGCTGTCTACTAAGGCCCTGCTAGCAAAGTCCACCAAAGTCTGAGACAAAGTTATGCAACAACGAAGTTGAAGACTCTTTTGTTTTCTGGGAATGAATTTTTTCATGGGTGAATTGCATTCCACCTGGCTCCCATCACTTCAGTCTGTGAACAATTTAGAACTAACCTTGAGGGGCCTGGTTACCTGTATGGATGCATTTTAATACCTCAGTCTACCAGTTTTTGGCAAAATAGTTGTATTTTTGAACTCGGGATAAGATCAAACAATGTCAAAGAGTTTCAATTGATATGTTTATATTGATTGGGTGAAGATAAGTATGGTTTAAAAATGTCAAATTATCACATCAATGAATTTATATTTTTTGTAATTTTGTACCAATGTTATTATACATTTATCGCACTTAGACAACAAATTAAGACAATACATAAACATGTGTTTTCCACATGGTTGACTATTAGAACATACTGTCACACACACATGAACACACATGTACAAGTTAAGACTTAAGTTAATTTACTCAAGATGGCACCATGTCAACAAACTATATGATATTACCTAGTAGCTGACATTTATGACTATTTGGGGAAGAAAAACTCAAACAATGTCTGTAATATTTTTGTGTTTAGTGGAATGGTACAATTCCATGCAGAAGCCTTGCCTTTTGGTCAAGGTAGTGGACAAATCTGGATGGATGATGTTTCCTGCGATGGTACAGAAAGCTATTTGGAACAGTGTAGTAGAACAGACTGGGGAGATCATAATTGTGGACACAGAGAAGATGTTGGGGTTACATGTGGAGTGGAACTTCCTCCAACTATAGGTAGGTATAGTGAATGGAAATATACAATAATAGTGCATATACCGTAGTATTCTTTATATAAAACTGAATTATGAATGTTCAATATTTGAATTATTCTAATTTTGGTAGAGCCTGGTACATGTGGTAGCAAACCAGTACAGAGGCTAGGACCATCTTTACGTATTGTTGGTGGGGAACAGGCAGAGCCTGGAGAATGGCCATGGCAAGTTGCACTCCAACTTAAAGGATCTGGTCACTATTGTGGTGCAACTGTTATCAATGAACATTATATTATTTCTGCTGCTCATTGCTTTGAAAGGTAAATTTATCTCCATTCTGTTTTATTTGAAGTAAAATGGAATTTATTGATATAACAAAATATTTATATGTCATCGAAAGTTTGGTTAAAAAAGTATTACCGGTACCTGTTTTGCTTTGGTTTATTGTCCATTTCAAGATGGCCAATGCCTCTGTCATGGAGTGAGAAAATGAAGGTATGAATTTGCCAGCTTCTATATCAACACCTAAGATACCACTTTGCTTTTCTATATATCAACACTAACTTTGTAAAGATGACTTGCATGTGGTTGTGACTAAAGATTTCTTTCTTTGAGATATCCGCATCAATTTGAATTATGATGCCTAGAAACTTGATGATCGTCATCACAGAATTACATTGTTCACTGAAAAAAAACTGCTCTTTGCTACTCATATGTGACTATATTTCTTATCAGTTTGTGCCTTATGTACCATAAAAATTAGCAAAAATTAAAAACCCAAATTATAGAAAATATATATGCAAACTGAGAATTAGTGATCACAGTCTAATGATTGCCTGCAAACAAGTTGATGAAAGTGAAATCATGTTGTATGGTGATAATATTTTATTTTCCACTTGAAGTGATTACAGGAGTGTGATAGTTTCTGTTTTTATATAGGTATGGAAAGGACAGTTTTACAGTTGTTGTTGGTGACCATGACAACGAAATGCCAGAGGGCAAAGAGCAAGAATATGACATACAGTGTCTGACATCACATGAAAATTATAACTCTGAAACAACAGATAATGACATCGCTTTGATCAAAGTTGAACCAAAGAATGGACGTGGTATGATCTTTACAGATTACGTAATGTCAGCTTGTCTTCCTGTTACTGACATCCAATTTCTTGCTGGACATGAATGTTGGACTTCAGGATGGGGTAGTACAGGTAAGTGTACTGTGCATTAGAAATACAGCACAACTTGTGGTACAGATTCATGTTAATTGTTAGAGGGCAGTCTTCATAGCATACTTCAAATGATACATGACTAATGATAATGTACATCTCCTGTTGTTAGAGGGTGCCCTTGACATTATATTAAATCTTCCATAATTAATCTAATAGAAAAGCAATTCCAAATTTCACATTCATTTGGTTAACTTAACTCATTTGTTCTTTTGCAGGTAGTGATTATCCAGCCAAACTGAGAGAGGCATTAACCCCTCTTATATCAACTACTGAATGCAATCGTCCAACTGGCTATGCTGGTAAAGTGACAAACAACATGTTATGTGCCGGATACATGCGAGGTGGTACTGATTCATGCCAAGGTGACAGTGGTGGACCATTGGTGTGTGAACGTGATGGTGTATGGACACTATGGGGTGTCACTTCATGGGGTTATGGTTGTGGAAGTGCTAACTATCCAGGAGTCTACACTAAAGTCGCTAACTATGTTGCATGGATAAATGACCATATGGCAACTGGTAGTTGCTAAGGAAAGAAATAGTTTTTGTATTTCTTATATACTGTAGATTTGTTTATTTTGAAAATCTTGCTAGAAATATTTTAATTTGAAAAGAAACATTTTTTTAGCATCATGAGATGTAATCACACCACATGTCACAACAATTTCTTTGAAATAAAATACAGTGCATATTAATTCTCCACTTTGTAGTAGATTATTTTCTTTCTTTTCCATTTATCACTTCAACATCATTGAAACTCAGCAGAGAGTCCAACATTGGCAAATTAGACAGAGAAAATTGTTACATATTAGAAACACTACAAGATAAAGTGAAATTTACAGAATGATATAAAACCAGTTATGTAAATTGAGGGTGTTGGGATGGTACTGCGTCTGGTGTCTGTCTGCCATTCTTCTCAAAAATAGTTTAACTGTTTGATTAAAACATAAAACTTGGATGGAATGTTGAAAACGTTGAATTGAAATAATTACATCGTGCCAGCAAAGTAGGTGGAAGGTTATAAAATATGCATGAAAAGTTGAATAAATTGAGTGGAAAGTCAAAATAGTTTGCTGATTACTTGTAGATTAACAAGTCATTGTCAATGACACGTCCCCGTTCCGTTCATATTTGAGTGACATATACATTCAAAGCAGATCATGACCGAAATGCACCTGCATATGTACAACACATTGTGCTAAATCTGAACAAAATCCATCCATGCATGACTGAGATCCGGTTCTGGAATTGTGAAAATAAGTGATTTTGATGCATTTTCGGCCTTAAAATGGCCATCATTCCGCTATTGTTAAGCAGATCATGAAACAAATGCACATATCTATTTGTGACATGATGTACCATGTGTGTGTGAAGTTTGAACTTGATCAATCCAGACATGTTTTGGATACGGATCCAGAACTGAATTCTTTAACAAAATGGCCGCCAGTCGGCCATTTCGAACTTGATCCGAAAAAAAAAGACGTGCATCAAGGTCCTATTATGTTTAATGTATGTACCAAATTTGAACAAAATCCATCCATGCATAACTGAGATACGGGTCCGGAATGGTGAAAATGTGCGATTTCAATGCATTTTCGG